CTTAAGGTAGTTGGACTTCAACTCCCAGAATTCCCCAGCCACCATGCTTTAAGGTAGTTGGACTTTAACTCCCAGAATTCCCCAGTCACCATGCCTTTAGGTAGTTGGACTTCAACTCCCAGAATTCCTTGGCCACCATGCCTTTAGGTAGTTGGACTTCAACTCCCAGAATTCTTCGGCCACCATGCCTTAAGGTAGTTGGACTTCAACTCCCAGAATTCCCTGGCCACTATGCTTTTAAGAGTCCAACTATCTTAAAGCAATGCTGGCTGAGGAATTCTGGGAATTGAAATTCATGTATCTTCAACTGGCCAAGTTGAGAAACGCTGCTCTAGGATATTTTTTCTGGACTCCGTGGGTCTCACTCCCCTTCTTTGCACTCTTGTCCTGAAATGGCTCCCATACTAGAATGGGGATCTGCCAATGCAAAATATAATTTAATGGTTTTTAAAAGTATTCTTTTATGCAGCTTGAAACCCAATTTTAATTTTTAGTAGCCAAATTATATGCTTCACACTTATCCAACTGGTTAGTAGTCAGCTTTCTACACTATTTTCACACATGCTGCGTCTTCGGTTTCAGTTTCCCCTCTGTGACATAAACATTGTTTTTTGTTACATTAATCTTATTTTATTTTTGAACCCACCTCTAAGTTAGTTTTTGAACGTTTTCCATTTTCTAGGGTTTCCAAGTCCTGCTGAACTTTACAGATTTATAGTTCTTCCAATTCCTTTTCTGTGGTATTTATAAAATGCCATGTATGCAGACCAAGATTCGTTTAGGTTGAGTGGGGAGGAGTTTTGTATGGTATTTTGGATCCACCTAATAAACTTGCAAATCATATATCCAGCTTGCTAATGAGAATTTCATGGGTGTTTTATTGGGTGCTTGGCTGAGTAGATCTACAGCTTTCTCACAATTTGCTGAGGAATTAATAGATTAAAAGAATGGAATGAGATTATCCAGAGTTGGTTCTTATAAATCTAGGCTAATATCTAGATATCACTGTATTATTTTAATAGTGTTTGCATTTTATGGTTTGCTCTGAATCCATCCAAAGGATTCATATGAGATTGGCTGATGTGTTGTTGGTCTTTGGATTCTTTTTCTTTGCTCTTTTTGGTTCATTTTTGAAGACTCTATTTCAACATGGTTCAGCCTTCCCAATTTTGATGAGCTGCAACTCTGATTGTCCCAAGAGTGCACAGTGTTGGTCATGCTGGCTGGACATTTTGTTGAAATTGATATCAGGCTGATAAATTGTCTCCCCTTTCTCCAATAGTGAGGTGTATAATGGAAAGAGATGATCATGGGAATGAGAGTGGAAAAATTCTAAGGAAGATTGGTCTAATAAGTTTTACTTATACAGCACTGAATTTAGCCTAACAAAATATGCAAATCAAGCCTCTGGTTGATTGTTTCATATGATTTATTATTTTGTATGCATTGCAAATCCAGAAAATTAGTGTCCCCTGATAGAACCCAGGAAGTAGGCATTTCCTTTCCTCTGGAATAGTTTCCTTCCAGAGATTAAAATAGCTGTTGACCTGGTTTTAAATAAGTCTTGATGACTTGGCTTTTTCTACACACCTGGTCAACCTTTTGGAGAATATGTGATCTTGAGGGTTTTGATTTTATTGTTCTTTGTGAATATTTGTCTTTAGTTTGTGCTATTTATAATGTATTATACTTTGTAATATTGTGTACTGCACTGAATGGTTATTATGGAGTCAAGCAGCCTTTGAAATTTGATAAATTTGATTGAATAAGGTAATGGGTAAGCATGTTGTGAAAACAAAACACAGTATACTTTTTAAAACCAAAATTTTGTTTGATTAAAAGGAATCTTGGCGTTTCATGTGAAGGCATGATAAAATATTTCAAGCGCTCCTCTCATTTAATGGTATTCAGAGGTCTAGTGCAAGGGACAGAAAAAAGTTGAGTGGAATTTTGTTGGAGAATTAAGTCTAGGTCAGATTTGCTTTTATTATATTTTCCCATGTCTGAATCCATGAAAGAGAAGTTGCTTCATGAGAGAAGGGGCGTATGTTGGGGAGAACCTAACCATACAGACATGTACAATACAGTAATTTGCATCCCTTCCTCCCAGTTACATAAAGAAGAGAATGATAGCATGTTCACAAACCAAGGTCTGGACTGGATGGAGACTAAAACCCGCTGCCACTTCAGGAACAGAGATTACTGCTGTTAACTGCTAAATGCAGGATTAAGTATGGTAGAGGGGAGGTGACTCAATGTTAAGAGCAAAAGTTGTACTTCCACCCTTAGGAATGAATTATAGCTAGGACATGATTGCTGTTGGTGTGAGAACAGACTGCTGGACTAGATGGATCAGGAATCTGATCCAGCAAGGCACATTTTATGTTCTAATGCCTTGTCAGGGACCTTTGAAATTGTAGTGACTATTTCCATTCAGCCATAAAAAATTAATAGATTGAGTATAAAGATGTATTTATTAATACTATTTATATATTCTTTGTTCAGATAAAATGTAGAATTATGGAACATATTTACCATATACAGAGCTTGTTAGGTGTACGTGGTTAATTGTGCCAGATTAGAAACCAGCAGAATGTGAATTGTATAGATGATCATTTATTGAATAGAATACTTTATTTACATCACCACGATGGAAAAAAGATGTTGAGACTCTAGACTAGAAAGAGTGCAGAGAAGAGCAACAAAGATGATTGGGGACTGGAGGCTAAAACATAGGAAGAGCAGTTGCAAGAATTGGGTATGCTTAATAAAAAGTGCTAGGGGTGACATATCAGTTTTCCAATATGACATGGGTTGCCAGAAAGAAGAGGTCCATCTATCCTCCAAAGCACCTGAAGGCAGGACAAGAAGCTAAACTAATCAAGTAGAAAAGCAACCTGGAATTAAAGGGGAAATTTATTGACAGAACAATTAATCAGTGGAACGATTTGGTTCCAGAAGTTGTGAATGCTCCAACGCTGGAAGTTTTTAAGAAGAGATTGGACAGCCATTTGTCTCAAATGTTATAGGGTTTCTTGCCTAAGCAGGGAGCTGGATTAGAAGACCTCCAAGGTCCCGTTCCAACTCTCGTTACTCTATTCTTACTCCTAGTCCTGTTCTATAGTGTGATTAGACACACAAGGAATTAGTCTCTGGTTCAGAAGCACTCAGTGTACATGCAGGGCAACAGAGAGAATCATCATCATAAAATCAATAAAAGGGGGAAGTAAAGAAGACAAGGAGAGGGGAAAAAAACTGTCCTGTCTGTATGTAGTTGTCTAGACATGATCAGGTTCCCACCCCCTTTGTGCCACTTGTTTAACTAGCACTTGTTCAGTGACCAAACGGTGCTGCACAAGTAGTTATGACCAGTCCTCACGATTGTGTCATTTGCAACACCCTCTGATCACAGTCTCTGATCTTGGCACAAAATTGGTCCATCTCTCTCAGCCCTAGGAAAAAGGCAATGGCAAATGATTTTCAAACGTGCTGTCCAGGAACCTGGAAAGTCATGTGTTGAGACTGACTTGAAGCCTGACCTGCTCACCCACCCCGCCCCAATATGGTTACTGGTTTTTCATGGAAATTTGCATACACTTTATAACTAATCACTGTAACATCTTGCTTGATCGGTCAGTGCTATCTCCCCGTCCTGGATGAGCTTGCAAGTATTCTTTTCTTTCTCTCCATGCTTGGAGATGAAGACAATATCATCCCTGTTGTTAGGAAATGTTCCCGTACTCTGGGATTTCCTCCCTTTTTT